AAGCAAACGTTCTCACTTATCTAAGCTCAGTTCTACTTTCCCATAATTTGTATCCACTGATCCTGGCTCAGTGCTTGAGAGAAATACTCTTAAGAGAAATACTCCTACACAAATCAATCCTTTAAATGTTTAAAGATAATTCTATCTCCCTAAATTTCTGCTGGATCAAATATTTTCAGCTCATTCAATCATCTTCTTTGTGGTTCTTCACATAAAGGACTTACTCTACTAATGTTCTTCTTAGAGTTTGGCATCCGAATCTAAATACCAGACTCTAGGAAAGATGTCACCAGGGCCAAGTAGGATAATGTTGTACACATTATTTGGGGTACATAATGTATTTTAATGACAACTAAGATGATAATTTTGGCGACAGGCAAGAATAACACATTGCCAAAAATAACACAATGCTTTTCACATTCAACGTTCACAAAAATAAGAGACTTATATGGAAAAGACAGTTCCCCACATTTGTCAAAAGTAGTACTATTGCGTCAATTTAAAGGTAACTGAAATGCCGTGTCACAAAATATGTCAAGTATATGAAGCATAAACAGACCAAATTGAGAATTTGTGGAAAACAATGGTACTTCCCCAGAAAATATACATATTAAATAAAACTAAGAGCTACTATTTACAATAAAAGGCATTTCCACAGGTGCCTGAAACTCATCTACAGATCCCAGAGCTGTACTATATGCATTAGTATAACCACAATTTCTCAGCATAGTGCTTAATTACACAAGTTGATATACAATATAAATGTATATATTCCTCACAATAACTTTACTATCATCCTCATTTTAAAGTGCAGGAAAGAGAATATCAAAGAAATTAAGCAATCTGCCTTCAGATGGTAAACAGAGAAACCCAGATTTAAGCACAGTTAACTTTAAACACATCACCTAAACACTTCTCTCACATCATCCATTAGGGTATGATCTAATTAAAACACTGTACATTAGAATTGTTTTAAGCATTATGACTGATCAGTAATAATTATAATTATTTTTCTCTGTCATATTTTCTTCATCTATAAAGTAGGAGAGAATATCACTTAAACAACTATGCAAGGTTGATACAGGAAATAGTAAAAGGGTGAGACATCATGAACAGAACTTCATTCAATGTATGTATTCATAGGGAGAGATGGTAAGTGAATTTCATTTCAGGACTACTTTGCTAATTTAGTAAATTAACTATATGGAGAACCATATTATAGTATGATTGAAGGGTGCTTATAAAACACTCCCCTATAAACTCATTAAATCCACATTTATTCTTTTTTTTTTTTAAAGATTTTATTTATTTATTTGAGAGCGAGAGAGCGAGTGCACAAGCAGGGGGAGGGGCAAAGGGAGAGGGAGAAGCAGACTTCCCACTGAGCAGGGAGCCCCACATGGAGCTCGATCCCAATCATGACCCGAGCTGAAGGCAGACACTTAACCGACTGAGCCACCCAGGCGCCCCTCATATTTATTCTTAAGGCATGAAAGTTGAGCTTCCCTGACACACATAAATATTCAAATTTCCAGATTATCTCTTCAAAACATTAATAAATAGTCACTAACAAAAATCTGCTAAAACTGAAAATGACCAAAATCAGAGGCTGAGTTGAAGTCAAGGAGTTTTTCATAAGCCAGTTATATATTCACTAGTTTTCCGTATTTTAGTAATAGATTTATTTATAGATCCTGATCATTTCAAAATTAATATAAACTGTGGGTATTAATGAAATAAATTCTAAATAATTACATGGCAAAAATAAAAATTGAGACACAGAGATTCTTCTTTTTAAGATTTATTTATTTGAAAGAGAGAGAGAGCATACAAGAGCAGGGGGGGACAGGCGGACAGAGAGACAGAGAATTCTCCAGCAGACTCCCTGCTGAGTGAGGAGGTGAAGGCAGGGCTGGATTCCATGACCCCAAGATCATGACCTGAGCTGAAATCAAGAGTCAGAGGCTTAACCAACTGAGCCAACCAGGTGCCCCAGAGACACAACGAATCTGAATAATGATCCTAGTGTCACTTAATGATTAAAAAATAAAGTTTTATTTTAAGGTTTTACATGAAATGTTTCCACTCAAATGTATCTATCAATACAAATAAGAGGGGCTGGCTCAGTTGTTAGAATATACAACTCTTGATGTCAGGGTTGTGGGTTCGAGCCCCCGTTGGGTACAGAGATTACTTAAAAATAAAACTAAAAAAAAAAAAAATACAAATAAGTAACCGAGATTTTTTTTTTAAAAAAAGGACTATGTCAAAAAAAGGGCACGGAACGCGGCAGGGAAGTCCACTATCACCACTGCTATTCAACATAGTATT